ACAATTTGTCTTTGCCTGGATGTGAGTATGTTTTCCTATTCCTATGATGATGCCTGTGCTATTCCATTTGCCAGAAATTCCTTTCCCCAAACATCTCCTGAGTCTATCTTCCCACATTTTGCTCCTGTACACGCATGGAGATACATTATGTTCTCATTGATCTCAAGGGGATTCCTCTGTTAATTCTCCATTGTTATGAACTTAGGCTTATCTTGGGCTTTGAGTTACTTGAATTGTAAGCACAAGAATTGTGTTATAAATCTCCATGACTGGACTATAAGGATGTTCTATACCATTATCTACAGTGTCCTACACATTATAATCTCAGTACAAAAAAGAAGCATGTATGCATTGTACTCATATTATGGATATAAATGATGTTTTTTTAAAAAAGATTTATTTATTTGAAAAGCAGAGGCAGAGAGAGAGAGAGAAAGTCTTCCAACTGTTGGTTCACTCCCCAAATGTCTGCAATGGCCAGAGCTGCGCGGATCCGAAGCCAGGATCCGGGAGCTTCTTCTGGGTCTCCCACATGGGTGCAGGGGCTCAAGCACTGGGGTCATCCTCTACTGCTTTCCCAGGCCATAGAAGAGAGCTGGATTGGAAGTGGAGCAGCCAGGACTTGAACCGGCACCCATATGGGATGCCAGCACTGCAGACAGTAGCTTTAATCTACTGAGCCACAGTGCTGACCCCTATGATGATTTAAAGATAGATATTTCTTTAAAGTAAGGAATGCAGTATAAGTATCTGATCTAACAAGCATCTCAAATAAAAACTTGTCCAAAACTAAATTCTTCATCATCTCAATTATCTCCAACTGGATCGTCCTTCCCATTCAGGTAATGGCAAATCCATCATACAAACATACTTAGACCAAAAACACATAAAGCATCCTGAGTCTTTCTTGCTCTCATCTCCTGTATCCAGAAAATCCCCCTGCCCCTGCATTCAAAACACATCCAGAGGGTCATGCATTGCCACACGCTGGGTCCAATGCATGGGCTGCCTGCAGCCTCTATCAAAATGTCAGTTCAGATTCAAGTCCCTGCTACTCTACTTCCCATCCAGCTTCCTGCTAATGCATCCTCGGGAGCAGCTGATGATGGCTCGAGTGTGGGGTCCCTGCCACTCATGTAGAAAACCTACATGGAGTTCCAAGATCCTGGTTTCAGCCTGGCCCAGCACTGGCTGTTGCAAGCACTTAGAGAGTAAACAAGCAAATGGAAATGAAATCAATCTCTCTCCATCTCTCTCTCTCTCTCTCTCTCTCTCTCTCTCTCCCATTCTCCCTCACTCCCTCCCTTTCAACTAGGTAAAAATAAAATATTTTAAAAACTAAAACTAGAATTGCTAATATCTTGTAGCAAGCTGCCATCATCCTCACCTGTGTATTTACAATAGCCTACAAATTACTCCTATGTCCTCTGTCACCTCTTTTCCTACTGTCTGTTGTCCACAGACAGATCATGCCAGATCCTGTCATTCCTATGCACAGAACACTCCAAGTGCTTCCCATCTCACTCAGGAGTTCTGCAGAATCACCCCACAGTCCCTTTACCTTTGTTGACTTTATCTCCAACTACTCCTCACCTCCAGTCGCTTCCCTCCAGCCTCTTCCTCAACAAAGCAAGCAGCTTCCTCCTTTGCCCGGCCTGGTTTCTGCCCTTTCCCTCTGGCCTGCTCTTGGACACTGACAGCTGCCTGGCTTGCCCCCTCACTTTCCAGTCTCTGCTCAAATACTCTCTTGTCAGTGCGCTCTCCCTGCTGGCGCGATTTGAAGCAGCCCCGACCCACAGTCACAGGCTAACACACTCTATCCTTCTTCCTCTGTGTGATTCCTCTCCAGAGCACTTACCATTTGACATACTCTGCATTTCTCTTGTCTGACCACTTATTCCCTATCTCTCTCCTACCCTTGCTCAACTAGAATGTAAACACCACAAAGGCACAAATTTTTGTCCGATTCCCTCCTTACTAGACAGTCCAGAAAAATAGAGCTTGCGAAGGAGAATGAATGGAGTATGAATAAACCTTATTCAGAGTTTTAAATATTCAGAGGATAAGGAATGTGGTGGACAATGACTTGAGAATTTTTATCCTAAATGTCTGAACCTGTACATTTGGTCTTTTAGAACCAACTCAGTTTCTCACTTATCAGAGGAGCAATAATTTCAAACTGCAGAGCACTGTGAAAATTTGAGACATTATTATAATTTTGCCTTTTCTGAGTTTCTTCTCAAATCAATTGATTTCCTAAACAGAGCATGTCCAGCATGCATTCTTTGGCAAATAACTCAAGGATGCAGAGGTATGTTATAAGGCTTTTGAGATAAGATCTTATAGACTGGCTCCTGCGGCTGCTCACAGAAGCCAGGACAGAATAGATTTTAACTCTCCTTCATACCTATGCACCCACCACAGTGACAGCAGTCTCCCTGATGGACAGTCCCTTTGTGGGCCTAGGAATGAGGTGGGCGTGGACACAAAGAGTCAGTTTGTAAGAACTCCCTTTATCACCCTGCCCTCTTCTTCTTAATTATGTCATTTCAGTATCAAGTCCCTGGAGCTCCTGCTTCATACTGATCTCTTCACTGAGTTCACTGGTATTGACACCTGCCAGTCTCCATGGACTACATTACCAGGAGCACCCGTCACTGCCCCTGAACACTGATGAAGCAATTATCTTGCTCCACGAGAAGAGGTGGCCACAGCAGAGGCAGGTCAATCATCCTTGTTGAGACCATTCTCTCTCGTGTGCTGGTTTCATCCATCTGGTGGAACCATGCATATCAGGATTGCTGTTATTCTCAAGTGCTTTCTGGGCCCCGTGTTCCTGGACACTCTCCCTGCCCTGGAGGAATATGGAGATTGTGTGAGAATTCCTCAGCCTCCTAACTGATGTCTCCCCACTGCCCTCCACTAAAGCCCCATCCACACAAGGTGACCCTCCCCAGGTGCAAATCCGAACCCTGCAAGCGATTCACAGTAACACATTAGAGTAACACCGACATGGAGAAAAGTTTAATGTATTATGTAAAGTTTAATTTATTTTGTCTTTTAAAAAGCTGGAACATGAACATGCATAGGATATATATGCAAAATAATGTGTAAAATATGACCATGGTAGAATATCTTGATACAGATGTAACTGAAGTCTGAAGATGATATTTGCACCAAAACATTTTCAATATTGTTTTCCCCCAGAGTAGTATGATTCTGGTGACTGACTTCCTTCCTTTTGGTATCTACAATTTCCAATGTCAGTATAATTATTCAAATTCTTTAATTGCAAATAGAGCATGTCATTTCTAGGCTTAAATTTCTTCACCTAAAAAAGTGAAAATTTTCTGGCACCGTGGCTCACTAGGCTAATCCTCCGCCTGCGGCGCCAGCACCCTGGGTTCTAGTCCCAGTCGGGGCGCCAGATTCTGTCCTGGCTGCTCCTCTTCCAGTCCAGCTCTCTGCTGCGGCCTGGGAGTGCAGCAGATGATGGCCCAAGTCCTTGGGCCCTGCACCCGCATGGGAGACCAGGAGGAAGCACCTGGCTCCTGGCTTCAGATCGGCGCAGCACGCTAGCCGTAATGCACCGGCCCCACTTTGGGGGTGAACCAACGGAAAAAGGAAGACCTTTCTCTCATCGCTCTCTCTCTCACTGTCTAACTCTGCCTTTCAAAAAAAAAGTGAAAATTTTACAATGAGTTTAATCAGAGCAGCAAGTAATAAAACTGTCCTCTCCCAGGACGTCTCTGATACTCAAGTGACAGAGCAGCAAATGAAGACCGTGTCTGTCCAGCTGTCACTGTCTCCTCAAAGACCAAGAGTGTGCTTTACAAATGACCACAGCAAACAGTCACTCCATATGAAGAGCAACGGCGGTAGTGTGAAGAAGTGGATGGAGGCCTTTAAGAATTGCTTTTTTCCTAGATGGGCATTTGGGGCAGCTATTAGGTCCCCACTTGGGATCTCTGCATCCCATATCAAAGTGCCTGGTTCAAGTCCCTGCCCTTGGGCTTCTGATCCAGGTTCCTGCTAAGGCACACCCTAAGAGGTAGCATGTGATGGATCAAGTACGTGAGTCCTTGCTAAACATGTGGGAAACCTGGATTGAGTTTCTGGCTCCAGCCTGGTCCAATCATGACTATTGCAGGCATTTGGGGAGTGAATCAGCAGGTGGAAGATCTTTCTCTGTGTCTGTGTCTCTGTCTCTCTCTCTCTCTCTCTGCCTTTCAATTAAAAATGCAAATAAATTATTTTTAAAAGTTGTTCTCCCATCCCTATTCGCTTTTGCAAGGTTGGGTTCAACAGTAAATATTTCTGTGATTAGCTCACCAGTGTTCATATTTGCATCAAGAGAGGGTTTCAGCTAAAGGGCATTGCTGAGAGGTCAGCAGGAGGCTGGGAAAGCCATTTCTTCTCACACAGGCTCTGAAGAGAGGGACTGCATGCTGTGAGCAGGGAGCCCAGAGGGCACCCGGTAACCACATGGCTTCCTCATCCTCCTTCGGCATCACAATCTCTGAGGCAGTATTTGTTGCAGGTGGAGTTCTCCAGTCCTGGAGCACACCTCCTCCCCTCCTCCCATCAGGCAAGACTCAACACAGTTGCCCTCTTCTTCTAGAGCTTTCCCTGACACGCCCAGCCACATCTGCTCTATATGTTAGTGCCTGTCTGAATTTCCCCCTTTGAATGTCTGCTAACCATTTTGCATTCCTGCTTATATCTGTCCCACCAGACTTATCTTCTTGGCAGTTAGGATCATACTCTTGTCTTTTTGTTCTCATCATCTAAACTTGGCATACTGAAGTGTTCAATAAATGATAATTAGATAAATGAATGGATGGATGGATGACTGGAAGCGCAGAGAGATCAAATGATGGAAGGATGGATAGGTGGATGGATAAGTGGATGGATGGATGGATGGGAAAAAGCTGTAGGCAGCATGTGGTCAGATCTAAATGAGTCTGTGACGAAGCAGCAGCATAGTAGACAGCACATACCATACACATCCTGAACAAAATCCCGAGAAAATGAACACGAGGCAGAACAAGTCGTAAAAGGCCTCTGTCCACTTCCCAGCACTCTTGCTGCTGCTCCTCAGACAGCCCGGACCACCCGCAGGGTGGCTCCAAAAGCACTCTCTCAGTCTGCGAGAAGAGCAGCATCAGCAGGAAGCCAGACACCATCTCCCGCTTTCTATTCTGTCACTGGAGTACCAGTTAGAGACTTCAAAGTAGGGGAGATGTCAGCTTGAGCTTGTTTCTCTGACCAATCTCATTATAAAATTTTTGTCACTAGTACACAGTCCCCACAACAATCCTCTGTCTAGTTATGTCAAGATTAGCGCCTACGATTCCAAAATAACATCTGACGCCACTTTCTATTTCCAGAAGGGCACATGGGATGTGTTAACAACACCCGCGCTAGATCCATGGATGCTGAGGACAGGCCCAACAGCCAAGTGCTGAAGTTAGTCGGTGGCCCTGATGGTTATCTGCTGATAACTGCACTGGGGGACTCACAAGGGAATTCCAGAACCTTCTTTTGATAAAGCCTCAAAACCACCAGATCTGCTGCTGCCAAAACCAAAAATAGCTCGGTCGAGTTGGGAAACCGTCGGTGTGGAGGTTGGAAGGTGTGGGGCCCTCATTTTGTATCCATTGGCTTTGTGTCCTCAGCCAAGCCACCTCTCTGAACACCCATGCTTTCGTCCATGTGACCAGCAGGACTCTCTTGATCCACAAGTAGGTCTAAGTCCCAAAGGAGATAACAGCCAGGAAGGTCCTTGGTGACCCCCTGTCCTCAATCCCAGGGGAGAGAAAAAGGGAGGGGTATTATCAGAAAGCAGCCACGCTGAAAATGCTCCCCAACTGTACTTTTTTTTTTTTCCCAACTGTACTTTTAACAGAAATAAAATCCTCCTAACTCAGGCCTTTGATGTTCTGGGAGTAGCCCTTCGGTGAGAGATGATTCTCTTTGTTCTACTGCCTTCTAATTTGCTCTAAGATAGTCATCACTGGCCTCTCCTCGCCTGCCTGCCTTGTTGTTCTATGATCCATGACTGCTGTGTTCACGGTTAATTCAGGGACAGGCCCAGGGGCTGTCAGAAACAGGAGTGGCTATTCTCAGCATACGGGAGGTTACCTGAGTCACAGGATAAATAAACACGGCTGCTTTTCCTCTTTAAAGAACCATTCTGTTCCCAGTAAGGACTTGGAAATAGCAAAATTCAACAGCATTCATTGAGCACTGTGGGAGTGCTTTGTTTACATGATTTCATTTACTATTCATAGGAACAGTGACAGAGGAAGCATCATCCCCATTTTATGATGAGGAAACTGACGTTCAGAGAGAAGAAATTGCGTGTCCATCCCCCAGAACTGCTGTAAACAGGGCCAGGATTTGAACCCTGTCTTATTTCATACAAAAACCCAAGCTCCTGTGGATCGTGCCCTATTGCCTCAAAACTAGCAATTGTACCTGCAGGAGGTAGATGAAGGGGAAAAATTAAGCATATGCTTAATCAAAAATTAAACGTTCTCAGATCTTAAACAAACACCCTCTTTGCTCAGGCATTCTTACAGAACCTGACCTGCTGGCAGGGAGAAGAGGTACCAGTTCAGTAAACAGCATCTGATTGACAGCTAAAAAACAGGATATAATCCTTCAGAAAACAAATACAATAAGTATGAGTGTGCCGAAGCATTCTGTACCTGAAGTCAGAATAATAAATATATTTCATGGTATTTCTTACAGATTTATTTATTTATTTATTTATTTATTTATTTATTTGAAGGGGTTGCAGAGAAAGAGAGAAAGACAGAGAGATCTTCCATCTGCTGGTTCGCTCCCTAAATGGCCCCAAAGGTCAGGGCTGAGCCAGGCCAAAGCCAGGAGTAAAGAGCTTCATCTCGGTCTCCCACATGAGGAACACTTGGGCCATCTGCTGCTGCCTTTCCCAGGCCATTAGCAGCAACAGCTGGGACACAAACTGGCTCCCATACAGGATGCTTGCATTGCAGGTGGCTTTACCTGCTGTGCCACAACACCAGCCCTATTTTTTTTTTAATCATGATTAGGTCTTAGGACATGGCACACACCATGTGGTCATTTTTTTTTTTATTTGACAGGTAGAGTTATACACAGTGAGAGAGAGACAGAGAGAGAAAGGTCTTCCTTTGGTTCACCACTCCCCAACTCCCCAATTGGCCGCCAGGGCTGGCACTGTGCTGATCCAAAGCCAGGAGCCAGGTGCTTCTTCCTGGTCTCCCATGCAAGTGCAGGGGCCCAAGCACTTGGGCCATCCTCCACTGCCCTCCCGGGCCACAGCAGAGAGCTGGACTGGAAGAGGAGCAACCAGGACTAGAACCTGCACCCATATGGGATGCCGGTGCCGCAGGCGGAGAATTAACCAAGTGAGCCACGGCGCCAGCCCCAACACCAGCCCTATTTAACAGTATTTTTGATGTTCTTTTTACAGGGAGTATGGGACAGGAGAGTTGAGCATTATTGTTCTCAGGATCTAGTGATCTTCTTACCCAATATAAGTCACTAAAAATACCAACCAAACCATACATTTTTAAGTTCCTTGGCTTAATTAAGTAGGTAAGCCTACCATGTAGAAGAATGTATGTGGAAGAAGATGAACACAATGTAGCTTAATGGTTCCTTACAGACTATATTTATATCTTCAAGTGAAAATACCACAAACAGCATGGAATCCCAAAGAACTCTCTTCGCTTCTTCCAGCTTTGGCATTTTCATAACACATTTTCTCATTCAATCTCAAGGACCTTCCCATCACTTTTACCTGAGCTGTGCTAATACTTCTGTTATTTCCCCATTGCCAAGGGTGTCTTCCAATACCCACTTTGCAGGATTATCACAAAGACAAGATTGAATGAGTAGTCCATGCAAAATTTTTGCCACACAGGAGGCACTCAACAAACAGGAGTGCCTCTCTCTCTCTCCTGCCTCTGAATTTGTGCATCTTTATTTTGCGAGTCTCAACGTGGTATAGATGTTAAGAAAGTTTGGAATCGGTGAGGCCCAGATTCAAACCTCACCTCAGCTTTCTACTAGGTGTGCGACCTTGGGCAAATATCCTACTCTCTCAGAACCTCTCTTTCTTCTATTATATAAAGAAAAAATAATAGCCCCACCCCCATGCCCCCAGCAGGGATACTGTGAGATTCACAATAACATTGGCCAAGTATCTAGCACATGATAGGCACAAAAGTGCAAAATAATCGTGGCTTGGATAACATGACTTAGGAAATGGATAACGCTTAGGTTGTAGGAAAACCCTTTCTTGCATGATTGTGATTTCAGACACCTAGGAACTTCCCTGGGTGTCATTGTCTGGTGTCTCACTGCATGTTTCCACTATGCATGGGTCTCAGGGAAATGCTTAAAGCCCCAGCAGGCAGCCAATGTCAACACAGGTACCTCTCAGCCTTGGCGGCCACAGCCAGTCTGCTGAAGTGCCCCTGGTCCAACTGTAGCCCAGCTACTTACTCCCAAAGCCTTGGAAAGCTTTCAGGATTCAGACAGATGCTGTAGGCTTGAGACTGCAGGCCAAGAGGAAGAGGTCGGGGCTGTGGGCAGTATATTTGACAGGCTCTTACACTGCAAGCCTTGTTTCAGGTCCCTCACAATGCACCTCTTTAGGCTGAAAACAAGATGTTCTTTGTAAATAAAAGTTCATGCATTTGAGTAATGAAGTCATTTTCCAGCTCTGTAGTGAAAGATATTCTTCTCCCAAGCCCCCTGGGTGTGGACTGTGGGCAGGAAGAGGGGTGTCCAGCCGCTCTCTCCAGACGAGATGGGAGCACAAAGAGGCAGCAGTCCCTCCCCAGCACACGAGAAAGTTTGCTCTAGAAAGCGGGCACCCTGCCCCCCCTGCGTCCTCAGAGCTCCTCTGCCTGCCTGGGGCTCTGGCCCGGATCCCCTTTTCCACCCACTTTCCTGCAAACCAGCGGGCCCACATAAAAGATTTAGATAACTATAAATGAAACATCCGGCACCTTGACTAAATAAATAAGACCTGGGAGGAAGCCACCGCAAAAGCTGAATATTCATCTGGCAGTCCTGGGGGGTATGGGAGGGGATCACTGGAAACCGGGCCCGGAGGGGAGGCAGCCAGGGAAAGGCCGACCTGGGTGTCAGAAAAGCAGCTTGGAGTGGGAGGGCCTGGCGGTGGAAGGTGAAAAGGGAGTGGCGAGGATGGGCGTGGGAAGGGAGCCGGAGCCGCGCGGCCCGCAGTCCTGACCCTGCCCGGGAGGAGGCGGCTGGAGCTCGCGGGACTCCTCCGTTCCCCGCTACCTCCTTTGAATGCTGACTTCAGGCTCCGTCTCTCTGTAGGTTCTGGAGCCAGAGCCTCCGGGGTGGGGGAGGGAAGAGAGGGAGAGAGAGAAGATAGAGGGAGGGAGGGAGGGAGGGAGGGAGAGAGAGAGAGAGAGAGAGACACGCTTACTCTCACTCTCCCTTTTTTGACGAAGTCGCTGCCGGGCTCCTCTCAACCGGACACCGCGGACGCAGGGACGGTGACCCACGCCAGGCTGCGCCGCACTCCGGGGGCCGCCGAAGAACCGCAGCCCGAGCGCCTCCCTGCAAGGAGCCCCGCTGCGGTCCGCGGAGGGATGGCTCGGGGCTCTGCCTGGCGCGCTCTCCTGCCCCTGTGGCTCGTCTGGGGCGCTGCCTGCTCCAGCGCGGCGTCGGGGGACGACGGAGCTTTTCCTTTTGACGTTGAAGGGAGCTCAGCCGTGGGCAGGCAAGACCCGCCCGAGACGAGCGAGTCCCGCGTGGTTCCGGGACGCCTGCCGCCTGCTGTCGAGGTACAGTGTCCCTGCCACTAACACCCCTGCTGGGGCACCTGCGCCCCGCCACCCCTGCCGCATTCGCCCCTTTCTCTCTCCCTTCCCCTCTGCCGTGAGGGCTTCGGCTGGACTGACTAGGGCAGTTCAGAAACTGGAAAGAGAGTTTTACTGAGTTGATTTGGACGTGGTGTGTTGCAAAGTTGAGTCTTTGCAACTCAGAGTGGCTCAATGCATGCGTCCTCTCTGAGTCTCCTGCTGGGCTCTCACCTGGACTGCAGCAGCTGTCAGCGCCTGTGACTATTGTGTGTCCCACTGGAGGCATTTGGGCAGGGGCCACAGCACTTGCTCTGTCTGCCCGGTCACTGGCTTCCTGCTCCTCGTAGGGATGGAGGGCAGAACCGACCCTTTGTCTTGAAATAGACACAAGGTCTACAGCCCCAGGGCAGGCTTGAGGGGGTGAGGGACGCTGTTAGGAAACTACCCAGCAGACAGAGCAGAAACCTCCCGTTCTATTCCAGAAGCAGAGTGAATCAGTCATTACCCCCAAATAAGAAGGATCAGGATGTGCGATGTGCGGTTGATGATACGTTCATCCCAACGACTTCTTCTGCTTGAACCTCTCAGGAGGGTTTAAGATGCAAACATAGCCAAAGCGTAGAAACTTGGCCAGGGTAGGTGAACCCAGAGTGATTTAAGAGCTCCCTGAGCCTAGAGAGACACCAGCAAGGCCAGTGCGTGGGAGATGCTAAGCAGGAGGAAAATGAAGTCACCTAAGTTCATGGGAAAGGAAGGAGGAATTGATCTGACAGCGCACGCATACACACACACACACACACACACACACACACACACATGCTATGGGTACAGCAACCGCACAACTGAAACAGTTACGCAAATCGACACTATTTCCAAAACCACCCAGCTCTGGACTATTGCTATTAACTCTACTTATTGTTGATATAGCTTCAATTGTTGATTATTAATGATTAAAAACAAGGCACATGGACATGGTCCTTCTTCAGAGTGAGGCCTACCCTGCTCCCTAAACTGGGAGGATGAGGAGGCCAGAGTTTCCCAAGTTCTCACTGTGGTGCAAAATGTAACCTCCATGAGAAAAAGGGGGCATGGCTATGGATCAACCTCCCACCCAGGCACTGGGGAGAGGCCAGACCAGGGAGACACCGCACAATGGAAGGCTGCCTTCTCTGCAGTCTTGGAATGAACTGCAGGAAAACGTCATCCCCACCTGTTGCTTTGAGCTTGGGAAGCCCCTGAGTGACATGCTTCACTTATGACTAAGATTGGCAGATAAAGTACAGAAGGCACAAATAAATCTGAATTTCAGATAAACAATGAATTTTGGCCATGTCTCAAATATTGCATAGAATATATCCGTAGTAAAAATTCAAATTTATCCAGGCATTTTTATTTTTGTTTAATCTAAAGAGACAAACACATACACAACTGGTTTTGTTGTTGTTCTTGTTAACTCCATCCTATAACACAAATTAAGAAAATAATTGTTTGCGTTTTAGGATACCTTAAAATTAGCAATTTCTTCTATGCTTGTGTATTCAGTGGAAAAATAGGCAGATGTCATAGCAGAGTGTTTAGATGGCAGGCTTTCAGCCAGATGGTCCCAAGTTAAATTTCAGACTCCTTGACCTATAGTTGCCTAAATTACAGATAAAGAAACTGAGGATTAAAGAAGCTATTGTTGTCTACTTCATACCTCATACAGTTGTGATAGTAAAATGAGATAAAACATAGAGGGTGCCTGATATAGTGCGATAGTGTGAGTGTTTTCATATGCTCAGGGTTATGACTGTAAAAATATGTGGATTGTAGGTCTAAAAGACACCCTTATTACTTTATGTTTTCAATGGTGTTATTTTACTCATTACTGCTCTAGCTCTGTTCGTCTGTTTTCTTCCAGCCAGCAACAATGTCCTGTAAAGAGTTAAATTTGTAGAATTGTCATAGTCTAATAGGTTCAAAATGTCACTTGAGGCCTTTGGTTCAGGGAAAAAGAAAGAAGATACTAGTTGTTCCAGGAAGGCCAAAGTATATGGTTTTGAAAGGGTGGGATTGATGTAATTATGTTCCCACTGCATATTTTCACATAATGCCTCCAGTTAGCCTGTGGTCCCATAGCAATCCCAACACCACACCAGCAGGTTTCCCATGCCTTTTATTGCCAGTAAGCAGACCTTGGCTCAAATATATTTGTGAAATTTAATAACATGGTACAACTACTTCACTGGATTGGTCCAGGAGATTGTGTGTGTGTGTGTGTGTGTGAGAGAGAGAGAGAGAGAGAGAGAGAGACCACAGACTTCTTATTTATGGGAGAGGTCCAAACTGTGGATGGGAGGATGTTCTAAAAATAGACTGGCTTTATTTGCATTGGATTGATATGAATGATTATTCCTCAATTCTCCTTCAAAGGGAAGGAAGACAAATACTAAGGCAAGCATGGGGCAGTGGGAGGTATTTGGCTAAGCGCCTGCCTGTGGTTCTCCCAAACTCCCTGATAGCAGGCTTTTGTCCTCCGCACCTCTGGGCCCTCAGCTAGAAACATGGACTCTGGCCTGCTGTGGTGCTTGGGGAAAGCTGAGCTACAGAAGTATGGCATACGCAGAGGAAAAGCGTGGAGATCACTGGCTGCCCAAGAAGGAAGCCCCTCCTTTCCTGGTGAAACAAGCCCAAGCCTCCCCAGGAGGCAAAGAATTTGAAAAGAGAAACACCCAAGGGTAGCTCTCAGCTGGTTATGAGGAGAATTTTCCCAATTTCTTTGTACTTTTTGACAAGCGATTTACTGAGACCATTATTGCTGGGTTTATGGGGAGAATAGTGATTCTCCATAGGTGAGTGTGGGCACTGGGGCGTCTAGGTTGTTTCAGTAAGCATCCTCATTAGTCTAATATTTCACATTTAAGAAAGGGATGTATGCTCATTTTATCACACACACTACAGCAAGTAAAGCTAGGCAGATCTCTGTCTCTTTTTTAAAAAAACATTTGTTTATTTTATTTGAAAGGCAGAATTACAGAGAGAAGGAGAGAGACAGAGAAACACAGAGTGAGAGAGACGGAGACAGAGACAAAGAGAGACAGAGACGACTTGGATCTGCTGGTTCACTCCCCAGATGGCCACAACTGCCAGAGCTGGGCCAGTCAGAAGACAGGCGCCAGAAGCCAGGGGCTTCATCTGGGTCTCCCACATAGGTAAAGGGCCCAGGCACTTGGGCCATCTTCCGCTGCTTTCCCAGGCACATTAGCAGGGAGCTGGAATGGAAGTGGAGCAGCCAGGAGTCTATCTCTTCTTGACCAATTAAAAATGGCAGAATCACTGAGGATGTGTGCAGCAATGGAGAGGAAGAACTACCTCCCCTCCATGGAGCCAGTACCACTATGTCCTTGGGAAGAAAGACTCTTGCTCATTGAAAATAAGTAGGAGTTAAACAAGGTCAAGAGCACTAGATTAGAGATTGACAGTGGTGGTTAGGAAGGAGCCACACACAGACTCTGAGGATTAGATGGGATAAGGATCCTGCTGAAAGGGCCAACTGGGAGGTGATGGAGGGGGACAGCAGTGCTGTCACTGCTTTGATAGACAGATGAGAAAATAAGGGAAATTATTGACCATACTGAACAAATTCATGTGAGAAAAGAAAACAGGACTTTATTTCCTAACAATACATTTTGCTGCTATTGTCATTACTGTTGTGTTAACTTCCCTCCAAGGAAACCTGACTGACCTGCTATTTTAAACCAGGCACTAAGAAGATCACTAGCTCTGCTGACTTCCCTGTTGATATGCAATCTCACTCCCCAACACATTGCTAGAGTCCCTGCCGTGGAGGGATTGAGGAACGGTTATTCAGACACTTTTTAGGTCTATTTCAATATCTGCTTTCTCTTTATTTTTCTTGGTCTCCTACTTTGAGAAGGGAGGCTACCATAAGGACCTCCAGTTACTGGCCTGGCCTGTCGTTCTATACTTCTAGTCCAACTATTTGACTAGGAAATTTGACTTTCCTGTATGCAGATATTATTTTATTCACTTTTCATTCAATGAGCAAGTTGGAAGCTTTACCTTGAATAGAGCAATAAAATAAGCACTAGGAGGGATTAAAAGAAGGTGTAGTCCCACACCTACCCTAAGAGATAAGCAATCTTAGAAAGAAAAAATATACATAGCCATCATATAAAGCAGAGTGAATTACCGTTCTGTAAGAGTGGCTACAAACTAGGTACCATGGAGGTAATGTTGGTAAAGGTTGACTCCAGATAAAGATCTGGAGTGATCAACAAACACCAAAGAAGTGTTTTAAATATGTATTTTAGAAGGATTGGAAAACAGTCATGGCAGTGGCTTGTTGCTGTCACTCCTTGAGTAGTTACCACCTGCTGGACAGTGATGGAAGCATTGCCCATGAATTGTTTCCTTTAACCTTTATTATAAGTGAATGGGACTGATATCATTATTAATTTACTTCACAAACATGGAAACTGAAGCACAGGCTGCCTACCTGCTCAGTGGCACAGCTAGGAAGGAGTACATAAAAGCAGTGCAGCTGTATAAGAGTGTCTAGAAAGAAATGACTGGTCAAATAGAAGTTTACCCAGGGAAAATTTCAGTCAGTTTGGGGATTTCTTAAAGTGAAGAAATAAAACATGCCATTCAAAATCTTTTATGCAGCACTTGCTACATGAGTAGCACACATTGTGTAAAATCTTAGGAATATCAATGAAGTGAGATAATTTCCTTTTCCCTTTCCTCTTTCCTTTTCTAATAACTGCTTTTTAAACTATTCATGTATAAAAGGAAAAAAGTAACACTTTGTTGATTTCTACTATGTCCCATGAAACTACATGTATTATCTAAATTAGTACTCAATAGTGAAAATTATACTCCTTTTAAAGATGAATAAATTGATGTTGATGATGGTAAACTTTGTCCAGGTTTCCAGATTCCATTCTATTTTCCCAGTTTACCAAAGGCTCTCCTGATAG